TAATACAAATACAAAAACAAATAACAATTGCATAAAATAAATATGAAAGATGCTACATCCACACCAAGTGGGTACTACGGGGTAGCATCGACTAAACCCCATGTGAGATTGTCCCACATGGCTCTAATGTGAGACAACCCCACATGGAGCTGTCTCATTGTTTGTTGGCTCCTTAGTATTACTGTGACATGTCAATGATGTTAAAGAACCAATTGTTGGCTCCGTTACGGAGTCAACAACCAATAAGATAAGTCAATGAATCAAAAGCCGCTCAAATTTATGGTTAGTTTTCTTAACTGCTGTGAGGGTTTAATTAATGAAAAAATCATGCAAAATCTTGGGGCAATGTAAATCAGTCAACAAATATATATACATATGTTTATAAGAAAAAAATAGTTTCTAAAAAATAATAAATAAAGAAATTTTATAATATATATTTATGTTTAAAATTATGATATAACAGTGGATAAAATTATGAGAATTTAATTCTATCCTATCTAGATAAGGCTGCTGGAGTATCTCCACTATTAAAATCTTGAGAACTTGTGCAATGCTAAATTATTAAATTTCGAGCAGTATTGTAATTGGGTCTAGTCTTGCATATATGATATGTAAATAAACTCGAGTCTTGAATGATATGGATAAAACTATGTAAAATTACAAAGAGACTGAGTCTCTACTTGAGTTTAAAATAGACTTAAGAGTAGACCGCGTTTCTTTTCTTAGCTGCACATCAACGAGACATAGTCTACCTTTATAAAGAATAATTTTTTTAGATTTAGGTGGCAAATAAATTTTGAGATTGAACTCAAAACACCGTGGTTGCTAGCGCACACATATTTATAGACCAGCTAAAATTCAGACAAAGAAAAAAATAATTAATAACAACTATACTAGCATTGGCACAAATATTTAGAGAACAATTGAAAAAAAAAATAAAAAAAAAAATAAAAAAATAACACTAAGAGCATGATTGGATACAAAAATTTCTCAAAAAAATCTGAACATTTTTAACTCAACCACTTTTTTAATTAAACTTTAACTCAACCCCACTATCATCAATATTATCAATATAATTAAATAATATCAATCAATCATTCTTACACATAACATCACCTTAATTCACTATTTATCTACTCACATAATTTTAACTAACCATCACTTCAAATCTTCTCTTTCCTACTTTACATCAAATTAACTTTAATCATTTTATTTTAAATATTATTTTAATATATCCACTAACAATTAATCATACCAACTTTTCAAAACTAACAAAACCAAACAAAAAAATTCAAACAAAACCAAAATTTTTTATATCCAATCATCCTCTAATAAACAACACTACTAACATTAGGTACACAGCGTGTTCCATGTCCTACATTCTACTCATTAAATAAAAGTAATACAAATTTTTAAATATAGGTACGTTTGGTTGTTAGCGTTTCCGCCAAGTTTTAGCGTTTTTGATATTGTTAGCTAATTTGAAAGTTTGACCACCTCAAAATTATTGTTTGGTAAAATAGCGGATGACAACAGCGGTTTGGGCCCAAAAGCTGATATTGGAAACGCTGCTTGGAGCAGCGTTTAAGCTTAGCAGTTTCAAGTTTTTTTTTTTTTTTTTTGATCGTTAGTTTCAAGTTTTTTATTTAATTATGTGAAAAGTGGACATTTTGGGGGCATTATGTATACTGCAATTATGATTATCAGTGACACAGTCCACAATGCAATTACTTTTTTTTTTTATTTCATTTTATTAATTTATTTAAGAATTAGTTTCCTTTAATATGTAATGATGGAATAATTATTTTTGAAATTCTTTTTCTTATGTGAAATTTCTTATTTTTCAATATAACAAAATAAGTTATGTATGTCATTATTTTAAAATAAATTTAATTCTTTATATATAAATATATTATTCTTATTATTTTTATTATTTGAGTAATTATACATTTACTTACATTAGTTATTTTATTTTACTTAATAACATCAATCAGCTAATTTTACCAAACACTTCAGCACAATCCACTAATGTAATCCGCCAGTCAAAACAGCCAATACAATCCGCTGGTCAAAACAGCTGATATAATCAGCTAACAGCTAACCGCTAACAGCTAATTGCCAAACAAGGTCATACTGTTCAGATAACATAACATAAATGTTATTTAATAAAAGTAATACAAATTTCTAAATATACTGTTCAGATATACTGCATGAATAATGAAATAACATAAATTATATAATAGATAAAAAGTCGAAAAATAAAATAAAATATGCAATCAATGAATTATTATCGTTCTGTTACTATTTTCTTACCAAAGGCTAAAAGTACGCTATTTTTTTCAGTAACTTTTTAATATTGTAATTTTTATATAAATTAAAATATATTTAACATATATTATTCATTTATCTTATTTTTGTCAATATACATTATAAATATATTTAATAGAAAAAAATGTGCATTCGTTCATCTTAAATTTCTCATTTCAAAATTATAGGAACTAAATTATCGAATGATAGTTATATAGTAATTCTGACATTTCCATACAAATAAAATGACAATAAAATGATAAAGATGTATAGTAATTCTAAAGTTTGTTTTTCATACAAATAAAATGATACATATGAAAGATTTATAATGCATGAAATGCATAAAAAATGCCTTGCTTTTTCTACAACACTTTAACATATACTCTTTGTAAATATACTATATACTTGCATTATAATAAAAATACTATATCATTAGTTTTAGATATTATAGTTGAATAGTAATAATAATAATGATAATAATAATAATAATGATAGTAATAATAATAATAATAATAATAATAATATACACATAATAATTGTAGTGGTTAAGTGCCTTATAATTTTAAGAAAACATTATATTCTAACCTACATAAAAAAAATACATAAGATGTGAACCAATAAAAAATATAACATATTAAATTTCGTAACAAAAAAAAATAATATTTATATTTAAAAAAAAAATAGACTAATATCAATATAAATGTTTGTTGTGTATATTTCCCACTAACTCCAGCACTTTAGAGGATGCTTTGATACAATTTTTTTTTTTCAAAAAATTCTAATAATTTTTAACCAATCACTTTTTTTTTTAACTCAACTTTATTGTTCTCAATATTATTAATATAATTAAATAATACCATTTAATCAATTTAACAATTTACATCAACTTCAATTCATTGTTCATCTACTTACATAAATTTAACTAATTAATTATCACTTTACATCATCTCTTCCATACTTTTACATCAAATTGATTATAATTATTTTTTTAAATATTATTTTTATATAAATTTAAAATCTCATTAACAACTAATAATACCACTTATTTAAAAAAATAACTATACCAAATCAAAAAAATTCCAATAAATCAGCTGATTTTCACGAATGGGTCAATCAATCGGTTGGGCCTAAGCTTTAGCTATAACCTATATAGTGGGCCTAATTGTTGATGTGAATTCTAAATGGGTCGGGATGAATATGGCTTAAAAAGCCCAGTGATCAAAGAGTAAAGTCCAAGACTCCAAGTATAAAATGATTAACAACTCCAATAATCAATAACAAGTAATTATAGCATGATTGACATATTTGAATGACATGAAAATATAATAGTTATTCTTTCATTTATAATCACATAATTGATATAATTTTCTGAAGGAATAACTATTTGAGGGAATCGAAAAATCGATCTCCACGAGATTAGTCATTCTTCTAACTCGTGGATTTGACAGAAATATGTTAAATTATTTTCCCCATGCATCGCACAGATTGTATACAAATTATGGTGAAACATATCAGGAAATTTACGTGCATGCTTTTGCAAAAGTGCCAATTGCATGGTAAATTATATTCCAAAACAAGTGGAAATGAGAAAACAAAACTACGTGAAGTTAGTTGCGAATACATAACTTTGAGAAATGTTACGGTACTGTTACGAAACTATTCTTGTAACTGTTAAATCATCATGCAATCGTCGAAAATAGTTGATCTGACTGTTACAAATTCCGACAGAATAATTCTGCAGGTAACATTTTTCCAAAAGTTTTTATCCAATGCCACAGGAACCAAAGCACTGATCGGTGCTTAACTCACATACAACTATACAAGTTAAATCAATCACTATTTTCCCTCAATCATACAACTACAAGCACAAAAAATAAATAAATAAATAAATAAAATAAAATTAAATAAATAAAATAAAAAATGTGCGTCTTATCCACTGTCTTCCCTTGTTAGTCTGCCACCTCACCATTTTCTAGAATCAACCTCATCCGATTATTGTCATTTTCTAATAGTAAGGCTAAGGCGATTGATTATTTATATTTCATAGGAATATATATTTTTAATACAGCTCTTATACGAAACGAGTCGTTTTTTTCCTTACGCTTGATTTGGTTTGGTTTATTTGATAACTCATATGAGTTCGATTTCGTTTAAATCTTATTTAGCTAATAAATTGACTTCGATTCAATTCGAGCTCGGGTAATCATCGGGTAATTGCAGAAGTGGATAGCTTATGTCGTTCTCGACGATTCAAAGTTTTAATGTTGAGCATAGAATGCATAGTGCTTTAATCTTGGTCATTATAGATTTGTTGAAGAGGCAATGGTCAATGAAGGTATGTCATAGATACCGAGAATCCAACTTTATTACGGATTGCATGGCGAGAATAGCTTCAATCTTTCGATGTGTCGCCGGATGAAGTTCGATAATGGTTACACCACGATGTTGTTGGGGTCTCGTATCTCGACACGTACCGATCTCCAGTACTTAAGCATTAGCCTCTCTATTTGTACCAATACATATATATAGTATAATTTTTTATAACTCATATTCAATCTCATTAATAGTTAATACTAATAAAAAAAAATGGAGCATGAACTCGATTGAGGAAATTAACAATAGATGTCTATAAACATGTACTCTCAAAGCACTGTTTCTAACTTCACACACCACCAATCCACCAATCAGTCGAAATGAGAACCTCACTTCAGCAAATCATCTCTTTCTTCTTCATCCTCCATGTTGTGCTATCATTGTTTCCACAGTCTCAGGCCGCCGCCAGCGATGACGGCACTACCACCATAGCTTTTGCAACCCTAGGTAGATCTAGCTACGCATTCGACATCTACGCTCTCCCCACGTATGGCCCATCGAAAGAAACCCGCCTGACCGACGGAAAATCCGTCAATTTCAACGGCTACTTCACCTCGTCGGAATCCCTCTCCATGCTCCCGATGCTACCCAATCGATCCGACCCGACGACCCATGTCCTCTACGTCTCCGAACGAAACGGGTCATCAAGAATTTACCTTGATGCGCTCTACGAGACCCCCTTTTCACGAATCGGGTCAAGGTCCATACTTGAGTCCCCCACCGAGTCGTCTCGGTTTCAGGTTCCTTTGGTGGGCGACGAGGAACCCGGTAGCCGGGTCTCGATGAAGGACAGGCCGAGCTTGGTGGGTCTTAATTTGATCTACGTTTCGACCCACGAGGATCCGGGCGTGCCCCGGGCAAGCTGGAACGCAGTCTACTTGACTCACCTGGTGACCGGGTCGACTCGGCGGCTTACACCGACAGGGGTGGCGGATTTCAGCCCCGCCTTGTCTCCATCTGGGGTCTGGACAGCAGTGGCGTCGCTTGGGGAAAAGGGTTGGGGCGGGGAAGTTCAAGAACTCGAAACGGATATTTACTTGTTCCTGACTCAAGACGGGTCGAAACGGGTCAAGATCGTTGAGCACGGCGGGTGGCCCAGTTGGGCCGATGATTCCACTATTTACTTCCACAGAAGGTGCGAGGACGGGTGGTGGAGTGTTTTTAAGGCGTCTTTCAACACTAAAGATGACAAACTCGGTGTTGACTCGGTGGTGACTCACCGGGTCACCCCACCTGGTCTGCACGCCTTCACCCCAGCAGCTTCTATAGCCAACAATAGCTTCATAGCATTAGCCACGAGACGACCCGGATCCGAATTTCGTCACATTGAGCTGTACAATTTAGCCTCGAAAAAGTTTACCGACGTGACCCGACCGGTTTCACCAAATGCACACCACTACAACCCGTTTATCTCGCCCGACTCATATCGGGTCGGGTACCACCGATGTAGGGGCTCAAGCAATGACGAAACGGGTCGTCATAATACTTTGGTACTCGAGAATGTTCGGAGCCCGCTGCCCAACGTGTCTTTGTTCCGGATCGACGGGTCGTTCCCTTCATACTCCCCGGACGGTGAACGGGTCGCCTACGTGAAATCCCCGGGCCTTTACGTGATGAACAATGACGGGTCGGGCCTCCGAACCGTTCTAACCCGACCCGCCTTCTCGACCGCATGGGATTGGAAGAGAAAGGGAGTAGTCTACGCAAGTGTGGGGCCCTCGTTTGCAAGCGAGGGCACAAAAGTCGACATCATATCGACCGACGTGGACAATAACGACCGAAGCTACAAACAACTGACCCTAGGAGGCGAGAACAACGCGTTCCCTTCACCCTCGCCGGATGGGAAATGGGTCGTGTTTAGATCGGGCCGAACGGGCCACAAAAACTTATACATAATGGACGCTATAAACGGGGAGTCGGGCGGGCTTTACACGTTAACCGAGGGCCCATGGACGGATACAATGTGCAATTGGTCGCCGGATGGCGTGTGGATCGCGTTCGCCTCGGATAGGGAGAATCCGGGCTCCGGTAGCTTCGAAATATTCAAGATCCATCCAAATGGCACCGGGCTCGAGAAGGTGATCCAGAGTGGTTTTGGCGGGCGGGCTAACCACCCGTGGTTTAGCCCGGATGGGAAGCACATAGTGTTTACATCGGACTATGCTGGAGTTTCTGCCGAGCCGATTTCGAACTCACACCATTACCAACCATATGGTGATATCTTTGTGATCAAGTCTGATGGGTCGGGTATCCGGAGATTGACCCACAACTCTTACGAGGATGGTACCCCGGCTTGGAGCCCTAAATTTACGAGGCCCGCTAATGTTGAGTGGCCCATGGAAAGGCCCAAGTGTTCCTTTGATGATTGCTATTGGCTTAGGATAAGGTCTAATGAGGTATTCAGCTCATCCAAGAGACAATGTGCTGAGTGAGAGAAGCTTTGTGGTTCTTTGCACCATAGCTTATTTGTAAAAAGTTTTGTTATTACAATATGCAATAAGATGCCTTGGCTATATAGAGCTTTGGCTTTGTATATCAACCTTAAATTTTAGGTGAATGTATACTGTTTGTTAATTCCTTTTTCTTTTGTCCATTTAAATTTCTTTGTCCAAGAGATATTCATTGATTAAACTGAGAACAGCACTGAAAAATGGAAAATGGAAGAAAGTAAAACTAGGATAGATTTCTGGAAAAATTAGCACCAAGGCTGTACACGAACTGCTGCTGTTTAAGGTCTAAACTCTAAACCAACTGAACTAAAAAAAAAAAAAAGACGATCGGTACAAGTTTTCAAGCATAAAATTCTAATCCCAACTACGGCACCCATTTTCTCTTCACGCCCTGGTTTCGGCATAAATCCTCGATCGATGAAAAAATGATCAGTCAACTGCACTCTGTTTACACGAAGGGCAGCCAGCAGCAGTTGAAATGCAGAGAAAAGAAAAAAACCATCCAACTGAGCATTGGAAAATAACACGAGATTCAGGCTAACTGCTAATGTTGTGGAAGTATTCTGAAGGTATTGATGGAGGACAGTACTTCTTCGCGACAAACTTGTACTGTTTCAAGCGAAAAAAGTTGAGTTAATTTTAGTTCAATCAAAAACTTCTGGGCCCTGCAGAAAACACAAACCTGTACTAAAAACAAGTTTAAACATAGACCTTGTGCTGACTGTACTTCTCTCTTATGGCAGGCAGACTAGAATTGTGGTTATTACAGCAAAGCCCATGTAATGCCATAACACAGTCGCGCAAATCGTGTGGCTGGTAGAGCGTGTAATGATGCAAAGTCGAGTTCTGCATTTTATTATCAAGTAAATCAATTTGTGGTCTAAGGCAAAAACTTAACAGACTGAAAAAAGAATTTGGCCATGAACATACCCAGGGTTTTTTTGCTGGTAAAAGAATGAATCTGGCCAAGAAAATCGAAGATGCTGCTATGAGCGATGGTGCATAACATAGCATGCTGTACTCCAGAATAGATAACTCGGCAATGTAATTAGCCAAGCACTCGAATTGCAGTAAAGGAGCCTGGAAAGGCAGCCACAATATTTTATACAATTTAGACACGGCCTCCAAAAAAAATTAAATAAATAAAACAGATTCATGGAATAAAGAATATGAGGTTGTTCAATAAAGATCATACCTCATTGGGACCTTGTGCAGCAGCGCGAACAAACCTCCTAAAAAAAGTTTCAGTAAAATGGATAGTGAGTATTAACATCTCTTTCTGAGATAGGTTGAATGAGATACAAATTAAATTATTACCTCAAGAAACATTTGACTGTGGGTGCTGTCATTTCGAATTTTAGATAATTCAAGACATCAGACTCCATTTGAAGAACCTAAAATTTTTTAACTTCTTAGGATGTTCTGCATATATATCCTAAATAAACTAAAGTAACTGCAGAAAGAAAAAGAAAAATTGAAATACCTCCTCTTTGAAGTATGTATTATCAGTAATATAGCAGAATTCTTCCACCTGTGGTGCACAAATCTCTTCATACTTTCTGCAAGTACGCATTCACATTGTTATACTCCCAAGTCGAGAATTGTTTGCCATCAGATGATAATACACAAAACATTTCGAATAGCAAACTTACGATGCAATCATCATGCAAGCCACACCAAGCAATTGCAATCTTTGTCTATCCATGACATTTCCAGAAAGATAACGGTCTATGTAGTTAACAGTTAGATACAATGTGTCAGGTACAAGTCTGTATTCCTCTGCAACCTGTGATTCCAAGTTGCTATAAGATGGAATGGTTTTCAACAGAATATGTAAACAGAACTCCAATGAACTATGACATATGAAAGCATTTCCCATCATCACCCAAAGAAAAAAGAAAGAAACAAAATTCAGCTCTACGAGATGGTACCTCAACAAGCCAATCAATAAGAATCGCACGCATGCTGGCATTAATGTCTTTCTGCACTCTTTCCATGAAGTTAATGGCTGGCCTTTTCTTTGCCTGGAGACAAATAGACAAATTAATCAATGAACAACACTCCAAACTAGTTAACCAATTTCAAGGCCCTATACAACAAGCCTTGTAAGAGACAAAGGCTACAGTTCTGAACACAAATAAAAGGATAAAATACGAACCTCAGAAGCTCTCAAGTGCTTGTAGATATCACACGCGATGGTCGCACATAACTGTGGGTCGTCCAAATTCTCATCAACATCCACAATCGTGTCGTCCGATTCTATTGTTGCTAAAACATCGCGCTTGCACATATTCTCTGAAAACACAAGGACCAAACCATATTACATTACGAGCTTTGGGAATAGCACAGGTACATAAAACATTTGTCGAAAGTAAAAAACCTGCAATTTCCTCGTCCTTTGAAATGCAAAGAATGTTGGACGCTTTCCGCTCAATGGAATCAACTGCAGCTATATCATGGCTATCCATGTATTCAACATCCGGGCTCTTAAGGGAATCACAGGTGGACATAGATTCATCCATGGAAACAGAGAGTGAATCTGATTTATCAGGAGAAAAATCGGCACTGCATGAAACAGGGGCCACAACAGTCCTAGAGAGCACAATATCTCTCTTTGGTAAAGATGAAGCTTGGCCAACCAGAACCACATTGTGCTTTACAGAGGAAGTTGGTGGTAGAGTAACCAAATTTGTTGATGTTGAAGGTCCCTTCTTAATGCTAACAATCTTCGTGGAGCACGGCACCTGCAGAATTCAATTTTATCCGAATCAATTACATACACTTTCTCGTAATATACTGTGTAGATATAGCAAAGAACATGAAACTGCCTACAAATGCCCAAAACCAAAAATTAAGTCCAGAAGTCTTATTATAGCACACATTAAAACTAATTCCATATTAGACATTATAACATTGCTTTACAAGACATGAAAAGTAACCACAGCAACCAAATTATGTTTCAAGTAAAAGCAGATGCCCAGATAAAGCAATATATAAAAATCATACTTGCTCGGTTCAAAAAGAAATTTAGTAGGCCATCTTTTCATTTGCAAGGGACAGCTCTAAATCTTGAATACAAAAATCGTTCGGGTTTTGTGTCCCTTATAAATATAACAGCAGAATACAATCAAGATAATCTGTAAAGGTGTAAAATATAATTCAAACATTCAAATCAATTTCAGGTAATCTATCTACAGGGTTCTCTATCCTTCAGCCATATAAATCTTTTCAGCAGCAGTTCAAAGTGGCCGACAAAATAAAGGCAACTTCAAACATGTTTCACAAAAGATAAAGACACCTACAGATTGTATCAAATTCAAATGGACACAATTTCCAGTGCAATATTATTTATTTTTATTTTTTTTGTGCGTGTTTTTTGAATTTGACCTAAAACAAAATAAAACCCACGTAACAATCTGATCAATCTCGATCAAGAAGTGTTTATAACACGACATTTCACAAAACCCATTCCTAAAACCATGCACATACACCCAAATATGAATCAAGAAAGTTGAAATTATACGGGATTTACGAACAACAGTCGAGGAAATTCACCAAAAATCAGAGGGTTTAACAATGAAAAAACTTCATAAACGAAATTCCATTTTTCTGCACGGACGAATTCAAAGGATTAAAGAGAAACAGAAACATGCAACGAAACCATCTCCAATCTCCAAACCCTGAATTCCACACCACGAAATCAAACCCCGGGAAAACGTAAGTTACGAGTATCGACGTACAATTTTCGACGACTCCGGAACATGGGCCCGGCCCGAACCCTGATAAACGGCTCCATGCCTCAGGTTACTGATGTTAGCCAGCGCCGGTCGCTTCTTCGAAGCGGCGGCCGCCGCCGCGGCCGCCTTCCCGGGATTCTCCGAAGCATAGGCGTGCCGCTTTGCCAAGGACGACGTCGTCGACCTCCTCGCCCCTGCAGCAGCACCCGCCATCGAACCAAACAAAAAGAAAGAAGATAACGGCGAAGCGAAAATTGAAAATCGAATCGATTCTCAGTAACCGAAACTGAATTACAGAGAGAAAAAAGACAGAGACGAAGGCCACCATTTGCTTGTGGCTGTGGGGGTTTATTAAAGAGGGGGTTACGATTTGAACTGCGGAGAGATCTGGACCGTCCGATTGTTTTTCGGGTGTACGTTAGGAGATTGCAGAGGTGGGCCCCACGGGAGCTGCCTGTTTGAATTGGGGAACATTGGAGAGTAACCTGCGGGTCCGTCACGGACCAATGGGGAGTCGAATTGGTTAAAGGTGATTAACTGAGAAAGGAAACGGCGTCGTGAGATTAGCGGAGAGGGCATTGAGGGGGCAATTTTGAATTCGAATTTTGATTTTTGAAGAGTATATCTTTGTATTTACTATTTAGGGTTGCGTGGGGGAAATCAATGTTTATTTTGTAACTATTTCTTATTCCAAAGTACATTATTTACATGTGGACAAAAAATTAATAATGTGACAAAATTTGGAAACTGGTATTTGTATAATGGGATAATTTGAAATTTAGCATGTATAGAGTGATTGATTTGGTTAAATTTTAGTTTGAAAATCAATTTATGAATTCAATCTTCACTGTATTTTGGTACTTCCTTCAATATGATGTTATTATATTATTGGAAAAGACTACAATCCCGTCACAAAATAGTTCCGTGATAGATTTTAGTCTTTCGATATATATATATATATATATATATATATGCAAGTTAGTTATTGTAGATAATTTATGACTAAAATCCCTTATGGAACCATTCCGTGACGGGACTGTAGTCTTTTCCATGAGATCGTAAGTTTGAGTGTTACCTCGTTTTTTGTACTGCACATATATCTAGCAGTTCATAAAAATTCAAATTATCTTCAAGTCTTCTATAATGAATAGATAAAAAGCAAGTTACAGATTATTAATTTTTTAAAATCACCCATTCTTGTATCAGTTGGCCTAAAGCTATGTTTAGTAGACAAATAAACTAGTTTATAATTTTTATTTTTTTTTAATACAGCAGAAGAAGGCAAGCCTCAAGACTTGGCTACACACGTTCCACGAGTAAGAAACACCAATGAGGTTGTGTTCTAACTACGGTCTAACACCATCTGGTGGGACGATAAAGAAATGATACCCCAAGGATTCTTCCGCAGCGAAGGAAGCCAAATGGTCGGCTGCAAAGTCCGCTTCGCGGAATACATGATTTACCTTTACCATCCACTCTCGACCAAGGAGCTCTTTAATACCGAGAATGAGTCTACCTTATAGTTTATTTGGTTAGCTTATAAGTCTTTTGTATTTAAATAAGCTTCATTTGGTAAGACGAGTTTTTTTTTTTTAATTTTTTTAAATCGAGCTTATTTTATAAGCTTCTTTGGATAATTTTTCAAATAAGCTAGTTGGAATTTTTATTTCAGCTAGCTTATCAATTAATTTTACCAAACACTTTTATTATATAAGTTAATTTTTCAGCTATAAACCATAAACTCAAAATTCACGTATACACTATAAGTTAGCTTATCAACTAGTTTTACCATATAGTCTAATTGTTGGGTGAGTCGTTTCGTCTTGAATTTTTTTAACAAAATATTCATTTTTATACACTACTACTAAATGTCATGTTTTTTGTTTTATTTGTTTTTAAAATATGAAATTTCAATTTAAAATTATAAGAAAAAGCCTATATAACATTTTTGTTTTGTAAAATTAGCTTATTGGAGTCTTATTGGCACATACAAATTTTTTGCTCGTGAATTATATCTATGGGTGAAAAAATAGCATAACTGTTGTGTTAATGGGCTCTAGAGTAAACAAGACTTCAACTATGTCAAAACACGTGTAGGCTCACGAAAATAATGGCCAATGCCTCGTTGTAATCTCGTGGGATTTCTCACTAATCTCGAATAATTTGCTCGAGTCTATGAAATTATAAGGAAATGTTACAGTTCCGTTACGGAATCATTTCGTTGAGATTTGTAATCGTTAGATCATCATGTAACCATCTCGTGGATAGTTGATCTAACGGTTACAAATCTCGATAAAATGGTCCTGTAACGAGACGGTAGAATCTCCCATAATTATAGATCAAAGACTAACAAAGAATTAAAAACAGTAGTTTTCTCACTTCAGAGTTAATCATTTGTGACTAAGTTTACCAAGTGTGTGTTTTACAAATAATTTTGTGGTCAATCAAATCGAGTGATTTGTAGCTTAATTAATTTATTTGTTAGGAATTGTGATAAAATTATTTAATAAATTAATTTTGAGTTTGCATTTGAATGTTTTGGTAGAAGGCTGGAGTTCAACGAGCTAAAATAAGCCAAGACCGAGTGAAGATTCCTGAGTTTGAACATAGATAATGTGAATCAAGGAAAGTTCATTGGAAAGTTAAACAAGTTATCATTCGGATTTGAGCCATTGATACTTGAATATGGATTTGAGTCTTTTTCAAGCAGTTCGACTCGTTAAAAATTTAATGTGGTAAATATAGTTGAAAAATTAGGCAACGACTGATAAGTTAACTAATAGTTTATTGGTGAACTAATATCTTATAACTGATAATTTATGACGTATAAGCTGACTGATATAATAAAAATGTGGTAAAAGTTAGTTGATAACTCAATTGAATTGAACAATTCAACTAGTTTTGTTTTGTTTTTTGTTTTTTTTTCTTCATAAAAAAAACTTATAAGATAAATTGGAGCCCTTTACAACAACCAGTCTTACCAAACGAAGCTTACAAGCTAACTAAATAAACTATAAGCTAGCTCATGATACTTACTAAAGATTATGTTGATAAATCTATAAGATAAGCTAGTTGATAGTTAATAAGTCAATTTCGAACTTATAGACGATGACTGAATATCTAGCTGATGTGATTAATTTGGTAAAATTAACTAATAAGTTAATTGAATAACAATCTCAATGGGCTTATTAAAAAACAACTACCAAGAGAACTTATGAGATAAACTCAAATTTTTAAAAAGCTCGTTCTACCAAGTCAAATTTATTTGCATACATGAAGCTTATAATCTAACTAAATAAACTATAAGTTAGCTTATGATGCTTACCAAACACACTCTAAATATCCTATAATTAACAAGTCGATAAATGAACTCGTATCAACTTGTTTAACAATATTAACAAGCAATATAAAGTTACATAAATATTCTATTTTCGAGCATAACTAAATGAGCTTTAAACAAATTGAATTTTGAATTCCAACCTTGACGAGTCGAACCCAGCAGTTCGTTTCATTTATCAATGGTGAATGAAGACCATCTAGCTGTAGAATAATGTTATTCGAACATCAAATAATTTGTGTCACATGTGTATTATGTCAAAATTTATGTTAACCATTATGTTTGTGTAGCATGTTTCTATATTGTAATGTTAATTTAACATAATGCATTTTACATAATTGTTTGATGTGCAACTATTTTGAGTTGTTAATTTGAGAGGTGATGTTTATGTCAAAATTTATGCATGGTGGAGAAGAGAAATTATATCAGAAATTCTATGGTGCCACATGTGACACGTGTTATGGTGCCACAACATGATGTGGCACATTATAATTGGTGCCACAACTAGAATTTCTGTATATTATATGCAATAATGAAAATAACCATTTCAATTATTTAAAGGACTTGAGGGTCTGAAATGAGAATAACCAAAGCTACACTTACACAGCCAGCTAAAAAAAATTTAATCCTACTCGATAAGGTTAATGTTGGACTTAGATCGATTCGTTTGCAGCCCTAAACTTACACTGATACACACCAATTTTCTTCGACAAATAAAAAAGCGGGAACAAAAGCCCTCTTTCTTTCGGAAGACATCGATTCACCTCGCAGCAATCAGCAATGGCGCCACTGCTGCAGAGCTCTCAGCCATGGGTCGAGAAATAGTATGATTTTTCTAATTCAAGCATCTCTCATTCTCTCTATCTCTCTCACATACACGCATTCATCTTGTTTTTCCCCATAATTTTGCTCGGCGATTTCTCTCTTTCCCTTTTCTTGCCGGCAATAGTTGTTGATGAATCTGTATTTGACAGCCGACCGAAGAAAGTGAGGGACGTCGCCCACCAGGACGAGGTCGTTCGAGTCCTCACCAACACGCTGGAGACGACGAATGTACTTTTGTTTTGTGTTTTAATTGGATTTTTTCGTTAGTTTTTGCTCAGTGTTTGTTTATTTTCTCTCATTGTTCTTTTAATTATTGGATTTAGTGTCCGCACATGCTGTTCTATGGTCCTCCGGGCACGGGGAAAACTACTACAGCTTTAGCAATTGCACACCAGCTTTACGGGTAATTCTCGTTCTCCCTCTCTCTCTTTCTGTGTGACCTTTAATCTTCTTTTATGTGAGGTATGCTTACACAGACATATTGCAGAGACATTTTTTTGTGAGCTTAATTATGATAGTAGTGAGCTGTCGACGAATTTCATTACTAACTAGTCGTGATTTGGTCTTACAAGACCTGGCTCGAATTCTGGTTGTATCTGAGTACTAAAAGTTGTTTGATGTTGTATAGGGTTTCATATAGGTTCAGAAAGAAATTTTCCACGATAAAGGAAATTTCGGAAAATTAAACTATATTTATATACTTATATGCTTAAATTCCACAATTATAAATGCTTTTTTTTTCTTCCTTTCTCCCTACATTTGTTGTCAATTTTGTTTGTTTGTTCTAAACAAAACATCGATTCTTAGTTTAGTACACTTTAGTTAGTTTAACGTAGTGACTTTGATATGTTTTGTGGAGTTTCATTTGCTGAACTGGACCACTCTCTTTCTATAGGCCTGAGTTATACAAGTCTAGAGTGCTCGAGCTGAATGCCAGTGATGATCGTGGGATCAATGTTGTCCGCACGAAAATAAAGAACTTTGCTGCGGTTGCTGTGGGTAATGTTCGCCATGGGTATGCATTTATTTCACTCTTATATAGCATGTACATTGTCCCACAATATGGGCATGTGCTTATTTGGGTGCCTTTGTTATTCAATGTAGTGGTTATCCTTGCCCGCCTTATAAGATTATAATTCTTGATGAGGCTGATTCAATGACTGAAGATGCTCAGGTGAGTATATTTTGTTTTTTCATACAGTGTTAGAAACGATGCATTTCTTAATGGAGGCTTTATTTGTACCTTTTTCAGAATGCCCTGCGGCGCACAATGGAGACATACTCGAAAGTAACAAGATTCTTTTTCATCTGTAATTACATCAGCAGGTAGATTCCATGTCCTCCATTTTTCTCTATGTATGCGTGTCTCTTTGTGTGTGTCTTTTGCACTTGAAACAGAAACATGTGTTGCTAAACACATTACTGTTCCTGATAATGTAATTTTCAGTAAAGGAACTTTTGTGTAGTCTGCACTTCAACTAGATTTCTTTCCAATCAGATACTTTTCTGGCGAAATGTTTGAATGAGGGAAAATCCTTTTTGAACCAAACAACTCTTTCACTAGCTGAGTTAACGAACCTGCAGTTGTTTGTATGGGCAATGATCACTTTCTCAAAAATCATCTTTTTTGTTCAATAAATGGGGGGGAGTTTCCCAGTCATAATATTGTAGGAGTATGAAATTGTATACACAGCTGGATTTTGTCTGAGACCGGTGCAAACTGGAAAGTAACAAACAACATTGTGATAATATTTAATAGACTTTAACAAGCATATCTGGAAACAGTAACCTTTGTGCTCGAGGAAAACACTGAAACATAGCAGTGGGGCATATAGGTTTGGATGTTTTCTTCAATTATAGCATTGATAAATTGATATTTTACCCAAGGTTGTTTTGATGGGATGTACTTGGGAGAAATGAGATTGAATTTTTTCTGAGTTTGCATCTATTTTCCAGTTTAAGCGTCTGTTGTCTAGTACTCCCCGAGAACTGGCTTGAAGTAATATTTTACTATTTGCAGAATTATCGAACCTCTGGCATCTAGATGTGCGAAATTCAGGTTCAAACCGCTTACAGAAGAAATCATGAGTACTCGTATATTATATATTTGCAAGGAGGAGGGTCTTAACTTGGATTCAGAGGTTTGGGTTGACATACTTGACATTTAAAACTTGTTTAACTAATTACATGTGCTTGTGCATGCGGTAGATTCTTTTTCCCGTTGAATAATCTCATTGTTTGGTTCATTTGTAGGCTCTTTCAACCTTAAGTTCTATTTCTCAAGGTGACCTGCGCCGGGCTATAACGTATCTACAAGTAAGAAAAATCTAAGAATAATCAACTTTAGTAAGTTTAGAGTGAGTGTAAGGGTTCTTTATATATACATATGGGTATCATGAATAGAACCTGACAGAAATGTCGAACCTAATTGTTCGACCTTACACTATCAGATTTATTTTTGTTTGACACATCACTGACAATTATCGAATATTTAGGAAACTAATGACACAAGAAAATGTTTGTTCTGTGCCCTAAATCTAGAAAAGAATATCTCAATAGGTCCAATTTTACACCAGCTTCTTGAATTTCTGCTCTGTCCACATCTTATTTTACTTTAGCATCACAGATAATTAGATTTTGCATTTGCCTTCTATTTCCAGGGGGCTGCTCGCTTATTTGGGTCTTCAATTTCATCCAAAGACCTAATTAGTGTGTCTGGTGTAAGTACTTCTCTTTTACTCTAGATTTTCCAATCAATTACATTGGACAATTTTCTGTAATCGAAGATCTAAAACGCTTTGACACAGATATCATATATTCACCATCTTAGTTCCTGTTCTCACCAGTATCAAACCAAACTGCTGCATAACGTTTCGAATTGACTGTTTCACTTACCTCTATAAAATATTAAAATATCTAGCTTCAGTTTGTTACGTGAGTGATTTTCTCTCCTTTATGAAATCAACACTCTCAAAAAAGTGTAACTAAACAAAATGCTCAGATAATAAAGAGAAAAGCTCATTTGCAGATGAAGGTGCATGGAAATGCTCATTTTAGTGTGTGTGTGTGTGTGTGGGTTGGTGAGTTTTTTATTTTGCTTTCACATTTAGAACTTTTATCTATAGGTTTACCAGCGGTAGTTAGAAAATTTATTCAGTCTCTTATATTTTCTTGGAAAACCTTTCACTAGTTAAAATTTCTACATCCAGGTCATCCCTGAGGATGTCGTGCAGGCTCTATTTTCTGCTTGCAAAAGTGGCAATTTTGACACAGCGGATAAGGAGGTTAAGAATGTAATTGCTGAAGGATATCCAGTCTCCCAGATGCTATCCCAGGTTTGGTTGATAATTAACTATTTGATAATTTGCCTTGTTTTCTTCATGCTAAATGCTGACTCAGTTTATTCTCAGTTGTATGATGTGATTGTGGAGTTAGATGATATAGCAGATGACCAGAAGGCAAGAATATGCAAGAAACTGGCCGAGACAGATAAGGTGAGATTTTTTTTTTTTAATAAATTTTTTCATTTGATACAATTTGCAAAACACAGAGTTTCTTGTCTGAAGGGCACACCGCAGTTAATAGCTGAATCATTTTATTTATATAATAATGTGGTAAAAGTGCATTGAGGTTGGATGTAATGTTACATCTGATTTATTTCATCTTGTCATACTATTGTCCCAAAGCTCGAAACACTTAAATTTAGAGGAAGAAACACATCAACTTATACTATTTTGTGGCATTTGCAGTGTCTTGTGGATGGGGCAGACGAGTATTTGCAACTTTTGGATGTCACTAGCAACATAATGCGTGCAATTCATAACATGCCACATGAATTTTCCTTTGGGGGTTAGGCTTCAAAGTCCTCGATTATCATGCTGTTTAAAATTTCGCTCTAGCTTAAAAAAAAAACAACAAGTTAGGAATTTCATGGTGGAATCTATCCCACTTGTTTGTCTTGTCGATGAATGAATGTTTTGTATGTTTAACATTCCTTGAGTTGCTTTTCACTGTGTTTTTTTCTCTCATGCGTAATCTTGTCGAATTATTACATTTCCTCAGTAAAATATAATCCCAATGAAAAGCCAAGCATGATATAGATAATTATTCAGGCTTGCAAAAAGTCGTGTCTTCTTTTTCAAGGCGCCATTTTCTTCTCTACTATGTTGCAAAAAATCCGTTTTGTGCATCCATTGTAGGACCATACATAGGCTGCACTTTTTCACCCGCATGTTCTTTTTCTTTTTGTCTCTTCTTATGTTGTTGAAATTATTATCTTTGCCACTATCTGCATGTGTAGATGAAACTTAACTTAAGGTGTAGAACATTGTAAGAGGAAAAAAAACCCCCAAAATTTGATGGGTAATCATATTTGAATTTGATTGGATTATTGAATTTGAATTTGTCTATATATGTGAAATCCAACCCAATTCACATCAACGTAGGTTATGTTTGGTAAAATTAGTTGATAAGTTAGCTTATAGCTTATTAATAATTTTCGAGCTTGTAGTTTATAATTTATGACTTATGGCTGAAAAGCTAGATTATATGATAAAAGTGTTTGGTAAAATTAGCTGATTAGCTAGCTGAAATGAAACGAGCTTATTTGAAAAGCTAGCAAAATAAGCTTATCAAATAAGCTCGAGCTTTTTAAATAAGTTCGTCCTACAAAACAAAGCGTATTTAGATACAGAGAGGTTATAAAGTAATCAAATAAGTTAGGAGCTAACTTATTGGTCTACCAAACATACCCATAATATATATGGAGCTGAACAAAACATCACATTAAACATACCCATAATATATATGGAGCTGAACAAAACATCACATTTCCAATTTGAATTTGGATTTAACTAAAAATTATCAATCAACTTCATCAATTTTGTTTTGACAATCGACTAAATTGGCGACCCTACTTGTTAAACCACCAATTATTATTGACTAAATTCATCCATGCAAAAACATGAATGATCCAAACTTCCAACACGGCCCTACCAATCTCCCCCACTTCCTACGCCTTTGATCAAGCCTAGACTTGAACAACACCCAAAAAATAAAAATAAAAAATAAAAAAATAAAAAAATAAAATCTATTAATACCACACACACACACACACATACACAAAACTTCACTTTGCATCATCAAAAACACAAATCAAGCATTTGAAACTCCATAAAGACCATGCGCAAAGTCACAGATGATTCCTTCAAGAAACCCGGATCCATACCATTCAAGTGGGAGATCCGACCCGGTGTACCCAAGATTCAACCCGAAAACCCGTCATCGGGCCACGCCCAATTTGATTCTAGTCCCGGAGTCCGAAGGCCCAAGCTCCACCGGAAACAGCTCAAACCACCACCGGCCGGGTTCAACTTCCGGCCCCATCTGGAGGCCCGGCCGAGCCCAACTCAATCTCCCTCGGGCAATGTATCCCGTCGTTTTGGGCCGTTGGGCCGTGCCCAACCCGATATTGTGTCATCATTCGGGTGCTTCCCTGCATCGCCTTTGGTGAAGTGGAAAGCCGAGAAGATGCAATGCCCGGGCCCAATATCAAAGCCCAAGCCCGGATACTGTTCGGATCCTGATATTCCGTCTAGGTGGTCGGTTTCCAGTAGGAAATCGACCACTACAGCTTCTCCATTGTCTTCTTCAATGGCTTCCTACCAATCGTCTCCTCGGCCCGTTAGGGACGCCGATTGGGCGGGCTTCGGGCTATTCTAGAGTAATTATTATTGATTATTTATGCAAGCTAATACTATATAAGTTTGTTTTGTCAAATTTGGATTTTTGCTACGTTACTTCAACACCAGAGCTGTGTATTTTTGCACATTTGCACATGAACTATTGCTGTTGATAAGAGAGAGATAGAGTTTAGGCGTATCTCAATTCTCAACCTACATAACATGCAGAGTGATTTTTTCTGTTTTGTAATTTTACGTCTCAATTTTTGGTGATTTGATTTTAATATTATGAAATACATGGTAAACATATTATAATATATTTTAAAAGTTAATAACTTTCGTAATTACATTTATAATAATAAAAAATAAATTATCTATTAATATTAATTAAAAATAATAAATTTATTTACTAATTAAATTATTTTATCTATCAGTCAGGTTTATTATACGATATGGATTAAATAAAATTATTATATTTTAGAAGGGTTAAGACGTACGAGATAAGACTATAATTAAAATATAGATAACTAACATAACGTATTTTTTTTAAGAATTATTTAAAACTTAAATCAAATAATTTGTTATTAGTGTAAGAAATTTAACGGGTATATCCATAACTATTAGGCGGAATTGAATAAACCCTAAGCATGTAATTCTATCAATTCATAAAACATGGATCTTTGCATAAATTAAATTGCACATAGAAACTTACAAGAATCCAGCTATAGTCCTTCCCTGTTCATCTATGATGTTGATCTACGATCATCTTTCTCGTAATCTTCAATGATGGATTCGTCTCGTAATCTCCAACAATAGATTCGTCTTTGCCTATGAATTAATTGTTTCTCTCTCTCGTGTCTCTCGTCTTTCCATAAAGCCCTTAATGTTGAGAACTTTATTTCGTATGAGATGGGAGAGAGGGGTATGTAGTATATATAGGAGGAGGAGACTTAGAATTCTAATCATACTACCATTCTCCATGTTCTAACCTAACTTACTGTCCAAGTCAAACATCACACATTGGACTGTTTAATATTAGAACATTAAATAATCTGTTAAATACATATTCATCTTTAATAAAGTTTGACTATTAATTCAATTAGGTTCAACTAATTATATGGTCCACAATAATAGAATAATATATAAAATATTATTACATTCTCCCACTTGGACCATATAAGTGTCGAAACCCAAAGAACTACTTTAAGCGCACACCTTTCATCAAACTTATGATTGAATACATATATCTATAAGTTTAAAATTAAAATAGAAATTAATCGAGTCATGGTGGTCACAAGTCTTCGAGCGACATGATCCCTTCCATGTACCACAAATCATTTCTAATTCAACTTTACTTTAATATGGAACAAACCATTCGTACCATAACCATAAGCCATCCAACTTTTATGTATATACTATAAATTCGAATATCCATAATGATGGTATTATATGTGAAGAATCAAACATCTTTTATTGAATTCAATAAGTATCAAATCAATAATTGAGCAATTTCATTCAGTATCGGTCAGTCCAACAAGGCCCCATTCGTTATTCCCAATTTTCTTTATATGCCTTGCAACGGCTATAGGGAATAACCCTTTAATGGATCCACTTGCATGCAATTAGTACTAAAATACTCAAATGACACTTTGTTTCTTCACTTTTACTTTTACGACCAAGTATTTAAATTTTATGTGATTCACACTCTTTGAATACTTGTCATTTCCTTGAAATATTATTGCTACAAAACTACGTTAATTCTTAGCGGCTTGGACAAGATGTCGACATTTCCAAGTCCTAAGATAAAGCATCGTAGCCCTAATTTTGACTTGTGGCCTCAAATCATACAAACTCAAACTTAAGTGGAAGTCACGATGATGGACTTTGTTCCACTTTTTCCATAATTTTGCTCCTTTAGACATTATGAGCAAAAATCTGAATCCAAGTATCCAATTATAAAAATAATTTGGATCTTCTTTAAGTTAGCATGTGTTCTTTAATGTCTTGTACATACTTTAGAAATTCTTTGCAGCATTTAAATAATCATTTAGGGATTACAATTATATTTGCTTTTACGTAACAACAACAAATATGTTATCAAACCAAATACAGGTTCGTATCGTTTAAGACTCCTAATCATTTATATCTAAGGAATTTTCTCCATCACTTTCCATTCCATTTCTCCTTCGGACATTTATTCAATAAATATGTCCCTTTTATGAATTGGAATTATACGGAACAACCATCCATTACCTCTCAAATAAAACTTTAATGGGATAAACTTTTAGTCCTAGTAATATATTCCAAAATATTTCTATTCCAATTACCAAGCATGTTTCATCCACATTCTTTATTTCATAATTTTCAGAGAGATAATACTTTAATTCGTGCAACATGTTCACATTATTAGCAACTACAAATATGTTATCGACATGCGGAACTAAAATAACAAATCTACTCCCACTAACCTTAATATAGATACACCGGTCTACGGTATTCTCTATAAAACCATAAGCAGTGATGATATTATTAAACTTAAGATACCATTGACGAGAGACTTGTTTTAATCAATATATCGATCTATTCAACTTATACACTAACATTTCATTCTTGTGATCTCAAAAACTTTTAATTAGTTCATGTAGATCTCCTTTTAAGTTTATCATTTAGAAGGTGATCTTTATGTCCATTTGATAAAGCTCAACATCATACAGAGCCACTATCACCATTACAATTCTCAAGGAATCATTCTTAAAAACTAGAGAGAATGTTTCCTTGTAGTCAATGCCTTCCTTTTGGATGTAACATTCAAGTCTAGCTTTATACCTTTCGATATTACCTTTAAAGTGGTGTTTGGTTTTGGAAAACCCATTTACACACAACTCTTTTATACCCTTCAGGTAATTCTACTAAATTTCAAACTTATTGTCATCCATTGACTTTAATTATTCTTTCATGACATTGATCAACTTTACCAGAATTTTCACTTTTAATGGCTTGAGATTCATCAACCAAAGGTTGTTCTATAATTCTGATTGCTTGTGATGCTTCATTATCAAGTGAGTTTGGATCATTCTGTTATTCATCTAAGTTATATGACAGTAATGTAACTAGAAGAATAACAACCATTAATGGACTCTCAGGTTTGGACTGTTCAATCCGAATTTCTTTGA